AGGAGCTGAAAAGCAAATGTGGTGCCCTTGCTTCTTTCAAATAATTTTGTTCCTGGAAAAGGTTTTCAAGGTCCAAAAAGGCTTATGTAACGTTTTTATGGTCAAAAACGACTTTGATATTACTTGTGCTTGTTATGTCTAATAAATCATCAATATGTTTTTCAGCTCTACATCTTCAATTTATGTGAAAACTACACCCTCAATTTATGTGACAACATTGAAAAAATCAATAGTTGAAAAAAATTCATATCTTGGTCAATTTCAATCACACATCAACGAGTATTTGAATTTAAATTTCCATCAGTCAGGCGCGTAGCGTGGACTTAATTTATGCACATGTCAGGGACCGCGACGTTCGTCTAACGAACGCCAAAGGCGGGAGTATTAAGGGAGTCTGCTCCCTTAAGAAAAATTTTTGAAAAATTTGAAAGAAATAACTCTTGGAAATGCGGTTTCCAACATTTTGAGAGACATTGAAAATTTTGAATAAAACTTAAGGCCCCCTCTCTGTTAATTCATTAATTAGGTAATTTTACTTTGAGGCCCCTATCTTGCCATCAATTTTATGTAATGCCCCCCTCTGGTTTTACGCCCTCCCCCCTCCTGGTAATTATTGCACAGTCCCTAACGTCACAAAACTCAACAAACCAGTTATGAGCAATGATTTTATAACTTGGTGATTAAAGATGCATTAATCGGATAGCTTGGAATTTAGTTGCTCAGAGTTATAGCAGTTCGAAAAAATGTTAGTTTCACTACCGCAAAACAACACAAACAAACAGGAGCTGTGAAGCATTATTATCCTGTTTAGGAGATAAAAGCTAATCCTTTCTCAATCTGTCATTGTTCTAGCATCTCAATTTTTTACAGTGTACGTCCGGAATTCCGCTAAATCGGAAAACTCTAATAAGGAAAATGATTCCACTTTGTATTTAAGAGAAAATGGTAAACCATCCAGACCTAACATAAACAGGGCTCCCACCTGCACGCGAGTTAAACCTCGTTCCCAGGGCTTCCCTGTTCGTTTTATTGCGGAACATTCYGACTGCCACTTTGCTTAGAAGCCGGCCATGTACACAGTTCATATAAAAATTGARCTTTTGATGTCTTGGCTTTCCTTAAAACAGTAGTGGATTTWTATAAACATTATCTTCTTCTGGAAGTCCGCTATTAGGTGTTACATAAGTTTTATATCAGTCGACCCCAATACCAAGAACTTCATTAGATGACGTCCCTTTATTCCAGATGAGGTCTCAGTGACCATCAAATTCATCAGCAGTAAATGCAAATCCATTGACATATGGTGCAGAGAGGCTGTAATCTTGTTCTTGTGCGACCATCTTTTAGAGGCAAAAGTTAGTGAGTTAGTGACCGCGTTGTCAAAATTAAATGATTGAACGTTTAATTAAATGCAGTTTTTCTTGGGAGGAAAGGWCAGCACAACTAGTCGATTCTTGGTTGTTTGGTTCGGGAGGTGAGGCAAGGATTATCATTCGTTTAGCAAGTCCACCATGAGGTGTCCTAATGCGGCCTCTCRAATGAGCAAAATTTTAGAGAATCAATCGGATACGGTATCCCAATTTTGTTACGGTACAGTTATAGTCAGTTACGACACATTCGGTTTGCCACTTATACGCTCTAAGTCACAAGAACGTGGGRGTCACCTGAAAGTGGAAAAATAAACGATTCCCGCGCTTTTCTAACGTGAGCCAGACATTCTTAAAATATTGCAGTGAGTTTATAGATTGTCA